CAGGCGCCGGCGGGTGGTAACCGGGGCGACTGCGGGGCGGCCGGGGTGAGGCCATGCACCGGGTGCCCGAGCTTTATGCGAGGAGGAAGCAGGGGGCCACGCAGGCCCCTTCCCTGCTGGACGTAAGTGCAGCCCGGCCGCCCCCTCCGGCGGGGGGAAGGCGGGCCCCGCGGCCCCCCCGGCCCTGGGCGCGACGCCCTCCTTCCCTGGGCTGCGCCCCTCACGCTGCTCCAGAGGCGGGGCGTCGCCTTTCCCGGGCCAGCGGGTCTCAAAGCGATGGCGGCAGTGTCGCCGGTCGCCTACTGCAGCAGAACCGCGGAGCGCGTCCGGCCCACGGGCCGGGCTGAGTTCCGGCTCCCACACGGATGTTCAGCTCTTTATGAGATCCCACCTCGCCGCCTCCGCTTAACTGGTTGCCAGATAAATAGCCCTGCCGCGGGGGGAGCAGTCCTGCCCTGGGAAGGTTTCCCCGAGATGAAGGTGAGAGGCTGGCGGCTGCTCCCTACCACTCCGTGAAAAGGGCACCCCGGTCCTTTGCCCACTGCCTCTGGAGGCCGGGCTGTGTTGGGTGAGTGGGAACTCAGCTAAAAAGTGGAGGCCGCCCCGGGCACCAGTTTATTGTCTGAATTCCAGTTATTCGCTGAATTGCTATGGTAAGCTGGGTGCGGCCTAAGTTCCCTTCCTTTCTCCCCTCCCCTCCTCACCCTCCTTTCTCTTCCCTTTTTCTCCCCTTCCTTTCTCCCTCCCTCTCCCTTTCTCTCTCATCCCTTCCTTCCTACTGAAACGACACCTTAAAGGATAAACTGCTGGCTTCAAATCAAACACTTTAAAATTCTACATTTTTACTGAAGAGAGGTCTAAAGGGCAACTAGTAGGAATTACTGTTAAAGGCTTATTGTGACACGTGGATTGTAAATTGTATTTTTAATTATTTTTGCTGCAATCATTTCATTTTACAGCATTTGGGATTACGATTAGGGATGTGGTACTGGAAAGATGAAACCAAAACTCTTGAATTCAGAAGGTAAATATTAACAAATATTAGTGTTTTTATTAAAATTACATGTACTTGGGGTAAAAAATATATAATTCAAGTAATACAGAAGAGTATAAAGAATAAAATAAATACCTAGTGAAACCCCACCATATGGAGATAAGCACTTTGGTGAACAGCCTTTCACCAGAAGGTGAGGACCTTCTGTTAACACTTATCAGCAGCTTCCTATGTGCCAGACACTCTGCTAATCAGCTAAAGGGTTTACCAGCCCTTTGAAGTAGCTGTATGTTAATTATGGATGGAGAAAATGAGGTTTCAAAGGGCTAAGAGATTTGAGGAAATCGAAGTGACTTGGCCCAATTATACCTTAGCTCAGAGGTGACTAAGATGACCTACGTGTAGATCTGTCTGACTGAGAGTCCAGGTTTTCAAATGCTGTATAAAACTGCATTTTTGAATTCTAGAAATACAGTTTTACATTAATGGAACCATATTACACATGCTACAATTGATGGTAAATCTTTCTTTTTTTTTGGTAAATCTTTCAAGGTAAAATTACTAGATGAGAAAAAAACTGGCTTTAATCTCCTTTGAGAAAACATTGACTCTATGAAAAGTGTATAGCTAAACTAATAGTCCTTGGCACTATCTGTTGTGCACCTATTATGTGCCAAATATTTGCATATTTTTCTAATTCTTACAAAACTTTGGGAAGTGAGCATTAATATCCTCTTTTTTTTTGAATCAGGATGTCTGTTGCCCAGGCCGGAGTACAGTGGCATGATCATGGCTCGCTACAGCCTCATCTTCCCAGGCTCAGGTGATCCTTCCGCCTTAGCCTCCTGAGTAGCTAGAACTACAGGTGCATGCCACCATGCCTGGCTAATTTTTAAATTTTTTTTTATAGAGATGAGGTCTTGCTATGTTGCCTAGGCTGGTCTTGAACTCCTGGGCTCAAGTAATCCTCCTGCCTCAGCCACCCAAAGTGCTATGTTTACAAGTGTAAGCCACCATTTTATAGCTGAAGAAACAAGTCTCAGGGAGATTAAGAATCAGAACCAGGCCGGGCATGGTGGTTCAAGCCTGTAATCCCAGCGCTTTTTGAGAGGCCGAGGTGAGAGGAATACCTGAGCCCATGGGTTCGAGACCAGCCTGGGCAACTTGGCAAGACCACATCTCTACAATAAAAAAAATTAGCTGGGAGTGGTAGCACATGCCTGTAGTTCTGGCTACTTGGAAGGCTGAGGCGGAAGGATCGCCGGAGCCCCGTAGGTTGAGGCTGCGGTGTCCAGGAGCGTGCCACTGCACTCCAGCCTGGGTGACGGAGTGAGACTCCAACTCAAAAAAAGCCACCCAAACCAAAGTCATACAGCCAGTAAGTAGCAGAACTAACATGTGAACTAATATTTGTCTGATGCCAAAACTGTTCCCATTATGTACACTGTCTCCCTCAACTAGTTGGAAGCCCCTCACTGGCAGGGACTGTCTTACGTATCTTCATGTCCCTGAAGCCATCTAAAGAACTTCATAAAGTAGGTGCTTAACAAATGCTTATTGAACATGTTCAGTAAACCCTCTAGATTCAAGCAGAGGAAGAATAGAGACAGGTGACTAATGAGAAAGCTAGTTGTAGGAGGATTACAGATAGTTACACACGTACGAGAGAAACCCAAAGAAACACAGAATTATCTTTCGGAGGGCTGGCCCCTTGTAGTACAGGCTTCCCTCTCTAGGTAAGTGTTCTAGGCACCCATTGGCATCAGTATGCCAGTTAGTGTTGTGAAAAGCTGCGTTCGGCTTCTGTGAATTTTTTGGAGATTCTTTTAGCACATTTGCTCGTTTCATGATGGGTGATTTACGAGCATACCTGCCCACACCTCACTGAGTGTTCAGCACCTTCGGACCGAAACCAGCATGACCTCCATGCCCCACCCTCCCTATTTACCCATCTCACCCCAAGTGATTTTTGTGTGTTTCCCTAATGAAAAAAGTCTTCAGAAGCTGGGTTCGGTGGCTCAGCCTGTAATCCCATGCTTTGGGAGGCTGAGGTGAGTGGATTGCCTGAGCCCGCGGGTTTGAGACCCACCTGGGCAACTTGGCGAGACCTCATCTCTACAATAAATCAGAAAAGTAGCTGGGCGTGGTAGCACGTGCCTGTAGTTCCAGCTACGCGGGAGGCTGAGGCGGAAGGATTGCCGGAGCCCAGCAGGTTGAGGCTGCAGTGGCCAGGAGCGGCCACTGCACTCCAGTCTGGGCGACAGAGTGAAACTCCAACTCCAAAAAGAAAAAAAAAAGTGTTCAAAGGGAAACGTTTTGCCAATGTGGAAGAGGTGAAACAAAAATAGCAGAAACCCTAAAAGGCATTACAATCGATGAGTTCAAAAACTGTTTTAAGCTGTGGAAAAAGTGTCTCCATAGGTATATTGCATCAAATGGCAAGTACTTTGAAGGTGACTGAAGTTTAAACATGTAAGAATAAATACACATTTCTAGATAAAGAACTTCTGGGATTTTTGGAGTCAGGATTAACTCCATGTCAGTAAAAACAGAGAGAAGGCTAAAGGTCTAAGATATATTTAAGAGGTGGAATTAACAGTACACATGGACAGATTGATAGGATGTGGGGGGCCAGGATGTGAAGGGAGAGGGAGAAGTAAGTGTCAAGGTTGGCTCCTAGGTATCTGACTTGGGTGACCGGGCGGCTGGAACTGCCCTTCACCCATATTCAGCATGAAAGAGACCAGAGTGGCAATGTGTTTGAGGTTGCTATGACTTATTCATGTGGACACGTCTCAGACTGTTGGACAGATGGGGCTGGAGGTCAGGAAAGGAGTTGGCTAAGCAGATGTCATTATACTTGCATTGTAAAGCTAATGACATGTTTAATGGTAATTAGACACATAATTCAAAGGTTTAACATTTTATTAGAGTCAAAATCAGAAGTGTGTGTGTATATACACACACACACACACACACACACACACACACACACACACACAAAACATATATATATATGTTTTGTTTGAGTCGGAGTCTCACTCTGTTGCCCAGGCTGGAGTACAGTGGCACGCTCACAGCCACTGCAGCTTCTACCTGCTGGGCTCTTGATCCTTCCACCTCAACATTCCAAGTAGCTGGAACTACAGGCATGTACCACAATGCCCAGCTAAGTTTTTGATGTATTGTAGAGATGAGGTCTCGCCAAGTTGCCCAGGCTGTTCTCGAACCCTTGAGCTCAGACAGTCCTCTCACTTCAGCTTCCCAAAGTGCTGGGATTACAGGCTTGAGCCCCCGTGCCCAGCTGGGATGGGTTATTTTTGGATCAGCACTGAAAATGAGTTTGAAAAATATTGCCAATTAAGCTTCATTTGCAAAGAAGTTCGGTAAGTAAAAAGTATGTTCCAATTTTTATCATAAAAAAGAGAGGGCTTAGATGGTCTCTAAATATACAGAGGGTGCCAAAAAATGTACACACATTTTTAAGAGATGAAAAGAACTGTATTAAAATTGTAATAATATATACACTGATAACGAAAGATGAATACAAGTCACGTTTGACTTCTGCAAGAGGTGCTCAAAGTGGTTACCACCAGTATCCAGACACTTCTGATAACGGCAAACATCTCTTAACATCACTTAAAATGCGTATACATTTTTTTGGCACCCGCTGCCAAAAAATAAATAAATAAATTTATCATCTTACAGATACTCTCCAAAATTAGCGGAAATCCAGTCAAACCATATTTTAAGAATAATTTGGTAACAAACTATAGATTACTAATGTGAATACTTTATGAGCATGAAAGACAATGTGAAACTGATATCTGTGAATTTTTTTTTTAATTTTTAAATTTTTTACAATCAGGGTCTCTATCACCCACGTTGGAGTGTAGTGGCGCAATCCTAGCTCACTGCAGCCTTGACCTCCTGGACTTAAGTGATCCTCCTGTCTCAGTCTCTTGAGTCGCTGGGACTACAGGCACAAACCACCACGTGTGACTAATTTTTTAGTTTTTTGTAGAGATGAGGTTTCACTATGTTGTCCAGGTTGGCCTCAGATACCTAGGCTCAAGTAATTCTCCCTCCTCAGCCTCCCAAAGCGCTGGGATTACAGGCATAAACCACCACACCTGGCCTTGTTAATTTATTAGTAGGCTCAAATATGAAATAGTGCCACTCAGGATGGGCTATTTTTATTTTTATTTTGAGTTGGAGTCTCACTCTGTCACCCAGGCTGGAGTGCAGTGGCACAATCACGGACACCGCAGCCTCTACCTCCTAGGCTCAGTCTGTCCTTCCATTTCAGCCTTCCAAGTAGCTGAAACTACAGGTATGCTCCACCACGCCCAGCTGATTTTTTTGATTTATTATAGAGATGAATTCTCGCCATGTTGCTCAGGCAGATCTCAAACCTGTGGGCTCAGTCCTCTCACCTCAGCCTCCCAAAATGCTGGGATTACAGGCCCGAGCCACTGTGCCTGGCTATGATAACGATTTAAAATATAGGTTGTATGACATAATGTTGAGCAAGAGAGGCCAGATATCAAAATGTAAATACTATATAATCCTATTTATATGAAAGTTTAAAAAACATAAAAAAGGACTAAAATGATAGGAATAAAAAATAGTGGTTACCTTTAGTGGGGATTATCAACTGGTGGGGGTGGGGGAAGGTATGAAGGAACCTTTTGGGGTGGTAGAAATGGTCTGTATGTTGGTCTGGGTGGCAACTACATGAGTATATATACGTTCAGAAGTTCATCAAACTGCACCCTTCAAGATTTATGCACTTCACTATAGGTAAGTTATAACTCAATTTAAAAAGTTGGAAGAGGCCAGGCATGTATAATCCCAGCATTTTGGGAGGCCTAGGTGAGAGGATTGAGCCCATGGATTCAAGACCAACCTGGACAACTTGGCGAGACCTCATCTGTACAACAGTTCAAAAAAATTAGCTGGGCATGGTGGCATGTGCCTGTAGTTCAGCTACTTGGAAGGCTGAGGTGGAAGTATTGCCTGAACCCAGCAGGTCGAGGCTGCAGTGGCCATGAGCTACCACTGCACTCCAGCCTGGACTACAGAGTGAGACTCTGACTGAAAAAAAAAAGTTGAAAGAAGCCCAAAACCTCAAACTGTGTAGTACACAGATTGGGGGGCAGTTAGGGGAGGTGGAGAATAGATAGGGGGTAGCTCTTTTGTAGTGGAGCTGCTTTGCATTTAAGCAACTCAGTGTGGTGAACCTTAGAGGATCAAGATCACCTTGGGGTAAAAACCACTCAGACAAGCATGAAGGAGAGAAGGCACATTCAGAGGTCAGAGCATAAGGACCGGAAGTTTTGCATACATGCCAGACTATTGCCAAGGATAGACTCTGCGCACCACCAATTTCAGCCACTGGGACGTGGATCAGCCTCGTTCTCCATCAGTAAAATGACAGCCTTATACTAGATGATCATTTTGATGTCCTCTAACTCCCAATTTCTATTATTTTGTTGACTTTATAATTCCAAGTGCGTTTCACTTAGTTCATAGACTTAATCTATGAGACAGTTCCAAATGTATCTTTTCAGATTCCTTATTTTAAATCTTTAAAACATCTCAGGCAAGTTAGTATAGCACAAAACTTTGGATTATAGGATGAGACCTCATTTCAACAACAAAATTAGGAGGGCACAGTGGTTGGAATCTATAGTCTCAGCTACTCGGTAGACTGAGAGGGCGATCACCAAGAAAAGAGTGGGAGGCACAATTTCATTTGATGTCACTCGAATCGGTGCTTCCATCTTCCCTCATCTTCTAGAAAAGTCCTGGGGAGAGCTGGGAAGACCTGAGACTTCTTTAGATGGCAGGAAAGTCATGGCCACTGGCTTGTAAGTGGCCAAACACTGTAACGGTCTAAAGAAAAATCTGAAAACAACTTTTCTTGTTCTTGTTTAGGATGTTATGTGGAGAACAGGAGGTAATAATCTGTGTTAGTCTTCCAGCAGCAGAGTGGGCATCAAAGAGCCATTAGAACACGTCTGCATGTTTAGGGGATTTGGGTATTTTATTAATGATCTGTCACAGAAGGTACCCACCACTGAGTTTCTTTCTATATATCTCAATCAACATTTTTTAAAGCTATGCAGGTGATAAATCAGCAGTCTTATAAAAAAAATCAACTAACACAGAAGTATTCAAATTCAGGAGCAAGCGCTCTTCAGTATGTCTCTCTTCGCTGTCCCATCGGCTCCCTCATCCCTCTCTGGATGTAGCCACTGTCAATGTTTGGTGTCTTTCCATTTCTTTTTTCTTGCCCACCCCCACTATTTCAGCATACCCTTCCCCACGAATCTGATCCTTGGAGACCAGTGATAAGAGCACCAGGAAGAATGAAAGGCTCAGAAATCTTCATGACTTGGTGCCAGTGGTCTAAAAAAAAAAGAAAAGACCCAGGCTCGGTGGCTCAGCCTGTAATCCCACGCCTTGGGAGGCTGAGGCGAGTGAATTGTCTGAGCCTGTGGGTTCGAGACCCGCCCAGGTAACTTGGTGAGACCTCATCTCTACAACAAATCAAAAAATTAGCCGGGTGTGATAGCGCACACCTGTAGTTCCAGCTACTTGGAAGGCTGAGGCTGCGGTGGCCGGGAGTGGCCACTGCACTCTAGTCTGGGTGACAGGGTGAGACTCCAACTAAAAAAAAAAAAAAGAAAAGAACAGTGGAAAAGTACAAAAAAAAAACAAAACGATTCCCCCTTAAGGGAACATCACATATATGCTCTTAGGAGCTAACCTATTGCACAACATAAATATCGCCAGGGGGTTGGCAGAAACTCCTGGAAGAAGAAGGGACATACTGACTAACTTGATCCCTTTCACAGTGAGGTATTTCTCTAAAATAATCTCTTGGTGGAATTTACCAAGGGCATAGTGATTAATAGTCATCTTTAGAGAAGGGCTGAAGATGGGGCAAGTGCTTCCACTTCATCTGCGATTCAGCTTAACAGACACATAACTATGGGCAGAGGCTGAGCTTCTGCATTGTGATATCAATGTGGCAAAAAAATAAAAACCATAACCCACAGTGTGATACCAAGCCACTGGATCTGGCAGACACCCCACTTCTAGAAAATGTCCTCTCTATAACGCAGGAGCCACATTGTGCTGGTCTTTGAATGCTTTTCTCTGTCTTCCCGTTCATATTTGTGGAGACTCTCAAGAGTCCGTGCCTTGCCTGTAATCAGACACCATCTTATTTTCAAGATCATAGTAATTCCTGACACATAATATGGACTCACTACATCTTTTTGTTGCTTAACTGGGGCCCCTTGTTAGCAAGACCCATTACCGCTTAGTAGGGTTTGTACCACATGTTAAGAACCCCTGAGTTAAGTAAAAGTTCCTGAAACCGTCCTGGAAATGGGCAAGGTCTTTATTCTGCTTATTTATTTGTTCATTTTTGAATCAAGGTCTCATTCTGTTGCCCAGGCTAGAGTGCAGTGGCATGATCTCGGCTCACTGCAGCCTCAGCCTCCTGGACTCCACAGATGTGCGATACCATGCCCAGCTTATTTGTTTATGTATGTATTAGAAACAAAGTCTCACTATGTTGCCCAGGCTACCACGCCTGACTTGCTTGCTTATTTATTTGCTTGTTTGTTTGAGACGAGGCCTTGCTGTGTTGCCCAGGCTGATCTCGAACTCCTGGGCTCAAGCAGTCTTTCCACCTCAGCTTCCCAAAATGCTGGGATCACAGGCTTGAGCCACTGTATCCAGCCAGGTGTGGACTTCTAGAAGAGCCTACAGTGGTGAATACTGAGATGGCAGCTGAGGAGGCAGGACTGCCTGGTCACTGGGCACTTGGCTCTGTGGCTAGATGACCTGGCAACACCAGGCTTGGCTTTGCCAGTGGCTACGTGATCTTAGTCAAGTTACTTAATCTCTTTCTAAGCTTCCATTTTTCTCAAATGTAAAAGCAGTGATAATAGTAATATTTTCTCATAGAGTTGCTATGAGGATTATGTGAGATGGTGCCTAAGAGCACTTGGCACATAATAAGCACTCAATAAACTTATCCTTTCAAGCTTGTTGTGAGCTTCTGTTTCTTGTGAAGTTAGTGCAAGATTTTCAGCTAGAAATGTTCTGTGTTTGGTGGTATTCTGGAGGCTGATGCGGTTGGAGGCTGAACAAAGTCTAAAGTTTTCATCTTTCATTAGATAATTGTCCCAACGTAAAGACGTGAATGAAGCCGGGCTTGGTGGCTCAGCCTGTAATCCCACGCCTTTGGGAGGCTGAGGTGAGTGAATTGCCTGAGCCCGTGGGTTCGAGACCCACCTGGGCAACTTGGCAAGACCTCATCTCTACAATAAATCAAAAACTAGCCAGGCGTGGTAGCACGCACCTGTAGTTCCAGCTACTTGGAGGCTGAGATGGAAGGATCACCGGAGTCCAGCAGGTCGAGGCTGCGGTGGCCGGGAGCAGTCACTGCACTCCAGTCTGGG